AAAGTACACATGCCTGGGCAACGCTTTCCAGCAAAACAAATTAAAAAAAATAAATCTGTATTTTGTTTTTCTATTTATTTTTCTTTTCTTTTTTTTTTTTTTTTTTTTTTTAAATTTGTTTTGCAGCTCTTCTCTCATCTTTTCCAGAATTTGGTCTCCATGGATTTTTTAATTTGCGTCACTCCTGTTATTCTTTCAGTATTTTTCCTTTATGAATAATTATTTTTCTCCTTCTATTTTTTTATCCTGTCCTAGACTATTGAAATGTTCTCTACACAAAAAAAAAAAAAAAAGACTTCTTGTTTATTTTTGCTGGAGGATTCCTATGAAATAAGGCACAAAATTGCACTTTAAGTGAAATAGCTATCAACAAGAGCAAGTCGCCCTTTCAAGCATGTAAGAGTCTTAAAGAAGCAAACATCATTTGAAGACAACCTCTTGTTGGCAATTTTGGTAGATACATACTAGGAATCATTTCTAAATAGTAGGAAATGGAATCAAAAAAATTGCTAATCCTCTCATTGCAGAGGATTTGAAAGGCATGACTGATTGCAGAACAAGTGTCCCACCCCCTTCTAATTAATGGGACTAGTCACACATTAATTAAGAACATGCATAAGCCTTTGCAAGATGTACATCATGAGCATGTCAGTGCGTAAGACAGAAGTCTGGTGAGACTGTAGCTTCATTATGGATGGAATTCATTTATTGCAACTTAAACACCAGTTAGAATCTATTAAATTTACTTAACTATCCTGTTGAAAATTTGAAGTAAGACCAATGTGACTAATGAGAATGAAAATGATGCATTCCTATTACTCATTTATTTTACAGGGATTAAGGCAGGAGTTTTAGGGAAATGAATTGCAAGGCAGAGGTGTTCAGGGAAATGTCTATCTCTACATACCATCTTCCCGTACATGCCATAAGACATCCCTGCAAACACTGCACGACTGCATGTGGTGGGTTGACCTTGGCTGCCAGTCAGATGCCCATCCAGCCACTCTGTCCCTCTCCTGCCTCAGCAGGACAGGGTGAGAAAACACAATGAAAAGCTCATGGGTTGAGATATGGACAGGGAGATCACTCAGCAATTGCAGTTACAGGCAAAACAGACTCCATCTGGGGAAGATTAATTTAATTTATTGCCAACTAACAACAGAGTAAGATAGTCTGAAATAAAAACAAAACTAAAATCACCTTCTTCCTTCCTCCCTTCTTGCCTTCTTCCCAGGCTCAGTTTCACTCCTGACTCTTCTACATCCTCCCCCCACCTCGAGTGGTGCAGGGGGATGGGAAATGGTGGTCAGTTTGTATCACTTAATCTCTGCTGCTCCTTCCTCCTTCATGAACTACTCCACTTGGGTCCCCCATGGGCCACAGCTCCTGCCAGAAAACCTGCTCATGCATGTGCTCCTCTCCACGTCTGCAGATCCTGCCAGGAAACCTGCTCCAGCATGGGCTCTACACAGGCTGCAGCTTCCTTCAGGGAACATCCACCTGCTCCAGCATGGGGTCCTCCATGGGCTGCAGGGGGAAAAGACCATGGAGATCTCTGCTCCACCCTTAACCTCCATGGGCTGCAGGGGGACACCCTGCCTCACTACGGTCTTCACCACAGGCAGCAGGGGAATCACTGCTCCAGTGCCTGCAGCACCTCCTCCCTCTCCTGCTTCACTGACCTTGGTGTCTGCAGGGATGTTTCTTTATTTTCCCCTCACTCCTTTCACAGCTCCTGCACAGCATTTTTTGCCCTATGTTAAATACGCTGTCACAGAAGTGCCACCAACCTCGCCAATCAGGTCAGCTTTGGCCAGTGACAGGTCCACCTTGGAGCCATCTGGAACTGACTGTCTGACGTGGGTGCAGCTTCTGGTGTCTTTTCACAGAAGCCACCCACACAGCCCCCGCCAGCTACCAAAACCTTGCCACATAAACCCAACACACTTCAAAAGCAGAAGTCTCTACAGTACTGAAAAGCATGTTCTCCTTCTGTGCCCATTGTTCACCTACAACAAACATGTTTTACTTCCTATCAGAATACGTACTGCATCTGTAATAATTATTGCAATGAAATTCTAAAAAACCCCATCTATTTAACATATACTATTTATAGTATACTATGTATTTTATGCTTTTTAGAACAGTAGTTTCCTTTCACTTTTTGTAGTTCAGATTTTTCCATAATAAATAACACTAAATACTTGCATTACAACTAAGTTTCTTCTCCCCGCTTCAATCTTCAGTTTACCTTGGTAGAGTTGCTTAGTTTTAGTCTAAGCCCAGCTTCACTAGTCGCTTTCCTTCACTCTCAGTGTTTATCCACACTCACACTTGCTATAAAGCTTACGAATTACTTCTCCACCCGGTTTAATCTGTCCACACTGGTTACCCTGAGCATGCTACTGCCAGGTTTCTTACGAATAAAGGTAAGTATTTTTTCAAATCAAGTTATGAAAAGAAGAGAAACACTGTACTGCTGTTCGACGTAATTTTATTTTTTTCAATGAAATGCGCCAGCGGCCAGCGTCGTAAAACAGAACACATTTTGTAATCTTGAAGCCAGCAAGATTGCGAAGAAAAAAAAAAGAAAAATTGAACCTGGTTTTCCTATACTTCATTTCCATACTTAAACTACATTCAGAGAAAAAAATCCCTAGAATTAAAATGTAAATAGGCATGACTTAAGCAGAGCTCTCCTTAAAAATAAACTGGACATGTCATACAGCACACATATGGTGCTTTGCTAGTATAATATGCTACAAATAGAATTATTCAAATGCAACTATGCAGCTTTTCTATTACCTAAGACCTTTTTCATTTTATTCTGTTGCAACAACTTTATTATTTACTTCATACTTCATTACCACACTACAGAACGATCTTTTCTTCTTCTTTTCTGGTGGCTTGTTTCTCAGAAAGGAGGCCTTCACTGTGGCTTTCTTTGGAGACACCAAACAGTTTCAGATATTAAAAATATTCAAAGCATTTCAATATACGTTCACAATGAGATTAAGCCTCCATTTTTCAAGTAAGGGTCTCATGACTTGCTATTAAACTAATGGCAAGAGCTGGTTAGTATTTACTCCTGTTCTCATTTATGAGAGCGTCATTTGGATAGCTGTAATGCCTCATAAATGCCCTCACCTGTTGTTAAGCTGAGTGTGCACCATCACATCCTGCACAAGAATTACAGTAATTTGGTTTCTCTCACAGTATTCGTGGACAGACGACAATAACTGTAGCACTTTTTAAACAAATGACACTTTCAAAAAATATCTGCATTTATAGAACTGCATAATCTCATTTTCAATGGGGTTCTTAGTTCAAAAGTACTATTTCACTTATTAAAACATGGCTTAAAAATACAGTATACATAACACTTGTGTTACAAATGTCTGAAAAATATTGTTATCAATCAACATTTCAACTCATTGCATTAATAAGGAAAGTAAACAGCAGTACTTTTGGAAAAGTATTCAAGTATTTCCCTGAAATACTATATAACAAAAACCAGATCCTAAACTTTGTATGACAATACTTTAAGCAAATATCATTTCAAGTGCTTTTTGTCATATTAGAGCAGTATGAATAATACTTTGCAGCAAAGACATAGCACAATATTTTGACATTACACAAAATTGAAATGTAAATAACATCAATAGAAAAAAAAATCCGACATTTATAACAATTTTCAAGTGCTTCAGTAATAAAATGACCAATCACCATGTCTTACACAGACCAGATACATGAGAGACATGAAACTAATACAAGCTGAACGACAGAAGTGCCAAAAACATACATGAACAGAGAATCATTAGCACTTTAGACGGAAAATCCCTCAGATGCAGTAAGTTTTAAAGAGAACCAAACACTTAAGAAAAGATAGAAGAGAGCAGGGGCTAACTTTGTATCCTCAAACAGGAATAAATCTGTACAAGAGCAGCAAAATTTAGCCCCAAGCCTACACACAGAACATGTATGTGCCACAATACACAAATTCATACACAACTTAATCACCTCATAGCTATATATGATGGTCTCATGTTTTTCGCTATAAAAAGAAATCAGCACAGTGAATTTATGATTTATCAGATGCCAGTTTCTCCCCTTGACTTCACAAATAGTTTTGTTTCATATTTAAATAAACATTATTTTAAAAACTTTCAATCATCAGTTCATATTTTTAAATTTAACATTCCAACATCTTATTTTGCAAAGACATTTTAATGTATGTAGTTAAATCTCCAAAGAATTGTGTACTGAAGAGGGAAACTTTTCATATGTTAATTTTAGATATTTTAAAAAAATTAAAAACTTGCTGGTGTTTCAGAAGGTATTTGTATTTTCCTTTGCCTGTGCCTTCCTGGTCTTATCTAAGCATCGCTGCGAGTTGCTTGCAAGACATTTCAGTTGCAGTGCATGGTATTTGGTATCACCCAAACAGTTATAAACCCTTTTATAATCCCAAAAAGCATCATGCAAGGAAGCTTTTATAAATAGAGTATCTAGGATAAGGTATGATCTGTATACAGATGTGCTTTTATTTTTCAAAGTATTTCTAAACTCTTATTGTTATTACTTAAAGCTAGGAATGTCTGTTTGAATTGCATTGATAAGTTGCAAGGTATAGTCAGAACTACACAATGAAAGATTTTACTAAGAAAAAAAACGAGGCGAATAACAACACTGTTGTCCAGCATTTAAGCCACGTGCAGCTACATGACACTCCCAGCAGAAAATGTCTTCTCAGACACTGATAATATCTTGTCTTGGTATCTTGTTTGATGGCAACCGAAAGTTCAAAGTTTTATAACATTTAGATACTATTGCAACACAACTGCTAAATTAGCTCTCTAGAAGAGCACAGAGAATTTGTTAGTCATCATGAATACATATATATGCCAACCCTCTTTTCTAACATAGATTACATTGCTCCAAGACCTATTTTAATGATTACGTTTTTTTAAAAAAATGACAAAATGCAATAAGATGTCTAAAATTACATTGAAGCCCTAAAAAAAAATAATCTAAAATTTTAAAATACTTGTCAATTTGACTAAAACGCATATTTACTCAATTTCCTTGAGCTTTTATTTTTTCTTCTCCTCATTGGAGGAACAATGTCTATAGTGATTGTTCAATGCTACTGTGGCTGGAGGCAGCTTCATCTGTACAGTTTTCCTCGATTCCCCTTGCAAATAGTTTCATTAACTGGCAGTGAACCCTGAAAAATATGGCAATCAATTAATAAGAAATAAACGGGTACTACATATTTAATTCTAATAAGCCATGAATTTCAAGCAGTTGGACAAAGTTCCTTGCTCCAGACTACAGAAGCCACGCTGTCATTCTTGGTATGATCCTCTCCTGCAAAGAAGGCTGGATGCTTTCATGTTTCTATCACTCTTATTATTCCTCTTTTCCATACAAAAAGTTCTATGGGTCACTTAGATGAGTGGATCTTATACAATATACAAAACACTTCGGACTGCTAAGTGATTATGTTTTAATGGAACACACTTGCATGTAAATATTTTGTATTGTGTTTTTGGCTCCCTTTGTTCTAAAAACAACAAACAAAAATGATCAACCAAAAAAACTCCAAACAAAAAAGAGAAAAATCCCTGCAAATTTCACAAACCTCTATTCCCTTCTAGTTTGCTTATCTGCACAGCTGCAAACTTCTTTCTCCATATGTTAAGGTTAGAGATAAGACTGCGCTGTGTGTCAAAAATACCCCAAAGTATGGGACATACTCAGTATTTCTGTAAGACAAAGATGCTTAATTAAGCATAATAGGAATTTTTTTTTGCTCAGAGTAATGAGGTACTCCACTCATTTAAAAAAGAATCCTCCCAACATCACCTTCACTTCAGCACTTCAAGCACACGATATCAGTTCCTAAGAAGTACATATGACTTCAAAGGTAGGGCCATCCATCATTCACAATATACATGCTTGGAGTATTCTCTGGAAATGACTCTTAAAAGTAACAGAAAAAATTAAGTTTATTATCAGCAGACTCAAATTTCCTATGCAGAGGCCCCTTTTTGGGATGTCTTTATGAGCATCTTTAAAATCAATGAAAAGCCTTAATGTTTTCTGGTATATGGAGATAAAAATTGATGCTTACTTCACTTCAATTGCTGAACTGTCCACAGTTTCTCCATCACAATTCCAGGTGCTATTAGCAATATGACAGCAACAGGCTGGATCATCTCTGCAGAAATGGCCAAAACGTTTCTTTCCTATGTCCATGACATTGCTTTCATTGTCTTCTGAAAGCTTTGATGTAAATTGAAAGCTCTTCACTCGATAAACATCTACAAATGAGAAGTCAAACTACAAAGAAAAAAATAAATCAAACCAGGCAATTACAATTAGTTAAAAACATTTGATGTGTAAAGTAACTCAGCATGCAGCATTTTGAAAGTCTGTCCACTCCAATTTTCTACAGAAGCTTACCTGAGGCATAGAGTGATTTTTGTTTTTAAAAAACTGCACGTCAGAAAAAATAAAGCCAAAATGGAACCTTACTTTTCAATGGTCCTCTTCAAGTAGCTGCAATACTGCCACTTCATAGATAACCAGGTAACAGGTTCTGAGATGATGAATGAATCGGGTATAAAAATACCCTATAAAAACTATTATAACATGGAATCAAAGTCAAAAAGGGTTGGATCGGATCTTTGTACCATCCTCAGGACCTGTTCAACTACAGTCCTTAAGACACACGGGCTTTTCTGAAAGCCTTCTGAATTTGGAACAATGCCCTGAAGGTGAGAATTCCATGGCAGTGTATCACATGCATCATATCACAGAGCTGGGTGTATACAAAAACAAGAAAAGAGGCCAATATTATTACATTCCAACAAAATAAAAATAATTTTAACTAATTAATTCAGCCAGAACAAGTAGGACAATTAAGAGATTGCTCTTATAACAGAGGTTGTAGATTTACACTACAATATTGTACAAATGCTTTAAAATCGGCTTTGTGAATTAAAGCAACAATCAAATTAGACAGTGCCCCCACCTGCCCTGAAAGCAACTTAACTGATATGGACTTAAACATTTAGCAAGCTATAATAAATACAGACATGTAGTTTAGCAAAGATGGAGTAGGTCCGTGTGTGTCTGTGGGAAGGTGATGACAAGGAAGCAAAAGTGAAAAAAGAAACAGTTTACCCATAAACCAGTCTGTATTAATGTGCAGTCACCTTTTTCTTGTCACATTTTCTTAATTTTTCAAACAGGGTTTCCCACTATTATAGACACTAACTTGAGGTGACCACATACGTACAATCCTGCATTTAATCTACACCGCAAAACGAATTTATCCCAGACAGAAACAGTTGGGAAGCACAGTGGCAATCACAGAAACACCAGAGTTGAAGGGACCTACTAGGTCTTTAGTTCCCTCAGCTTTTGACCATAAACAAACGGTGAAGTTGTCAAACTCCACACTTGGAAGCAGCAGCTCACGGACACAACAAGGCTCACTAAGCTGTGTGCTAGTCCAAACAGCTTAGCTGCAAAAACTGGTAACTACGGCTGCACAGAGCCACCCATGAATGCTCTCATCTCTCAGATCTAAGCGGAAGGTAGTCTCTTGATAAACGTTGAAGCCAATTTGAAAGGTAGCCAGGGAAGGCTTCAAATAATGAAAATATCGAAGGAACAATGAGACTGAGTGGGGAGGAGTGACGGGAAGGGGACTGAGACTAGCAGGAAGGAGGAACATAGACACACACACAATGTCCTAGGGAATGGTATGAGGAAATACAGGAAAGAGAATCTATATTAATTCTTCTACAGAGGAAGAAGAATAGCATCATAAACAAGTAAGAATTACTATTGGTTTTTTAACTAGATATGACGTTAGTCCATTGTTCAGATAATTTCGAGAACACGTTATTAATCTCGGGTTGTGACAAATACTAAATGTGTGCATTCACAGCCACAGCTCTGGTTTCAACAGATACTACAATCCAAAGCAGTGATGAATCTTCCCTTGTAGCTTATCCTAACACCTACAACATATTCAAGGAATAATTTTGAAGCTGAATGCGTAAAGCTCATATCTTGGTCACATATATGCAGTAAAATTCTGCTAAAAGCCTGCAGTTTACAATCAAACTGCAGTTCTGGTCACTTTCTTCTAAACCACATTTTTACACAGTTTATAAAAAGTGATTTATTATTCTTCACTACATCTTCTACCTCAGCTATGTTATACTGCTGTGAGCAGTTTTTCGTGACAAATACATGGGAGCACAGTTGTGATAAAATCAATTTCAGTACTGTCCAAACAGCAAATATATGGAAACTGTTATGAAATAGAGTTCAGTTAGCAAAAGTGGAATTTTGTTAGAATACAATGGCCAAAGACTTGACTTAGCTAAAATGATTAATTTTTTTAATGGTACACATGATGACATTATGTCACTCAAAATGTATAAACTTCAAAAAATAAAAACCACCTGCTTTGCAGATGTTCTTTTTGTCATCTAAGAATATTGATATTTACAACTTAGACTGACTCTGGAGAATTCATTGTCAAAGGGAATACACACCTGATCATCTTGGTTTTTATGTCTGACAAGATACCGCAGAAAACCGAACCTGGAACATTTACGAACTACAATGAGGTCAGCTGAACCATCCGCCAAATGAGCTGCTGGTGAAAGACCTTTTGGACTTCGTGGACAGGCACACCTCATATTTGCTGCATTGATGGCTAGAAATTTCCCTTTAATAACCTTCCATTCTTCATCTTCTGAAACACATCAATAAAGCCATGGAGATAGGTTATTATTTGATCTACTCACAAGAACACTAAAAAGCAATCATTCTTGGCAACTCAAAAGTTTTTACTGGGCATATCCATGCACTGACAATAAACACCTAAAATAAACTGCATTTTAAAAATTGAAATATTTTTCATGTACTAACAGAGAAAGTTGCTTTCTCCCTTCACAGACTGTGATTATCTACTAAAGGTGCTCACCATTTCTGACATACGCATGTCAAATTCAGGATTGATGCTGTTTGGGTAAACCCACAAAGCCTGAGGCAGGAAAAAGACAGAGGCAAGTTACACCCTTGCAGTGTGAAAGTTCAGGGGGATTTTTAACTGCTTTTAATATTTTATTCTTGCTCTTCAACATGTTAATCTTAAATAAACAATGATGCAATGACAGTTGTTTAGTATTTGGTTTCTAAATAAATATTCCTCTTCTGCCTCGATGCCTCAAATTACATTTAAAAAAAAAAAAAAGGCAAAAAGGGAAGAGATGACTCAGGGTTCAGCAAGAACCAGCAGGCAGCAGATCAGGAGTCTGTTTCCACCCCAACCCCAAATGTCTGAATATGAATACTATTAACAGAGTTGAACTTTTTTGTGCATAAATTTTCAGAGATTTCTGAAAAACAATACAAAAGCTCGTTTTCAACAATTTGAAACCGTTCTGCTAGAGATTAGACCTAGACTGAGTTTAAATGTGCAATGGCATCAATACTACCAAGAGGCAGAGGAATTTCCTGGAACAAAGGAACACTGGCAGGCACTGCACAGAGTTGTCATCTAAACTGTATGTCCTTGAATATGGATAAAAATAGACAAAAAAAGGCCTTTGCATTTTTAGATTACTCATAATCTCCTTCCTCACTACAATAAGAAAAAGCCATAACACTTCTCCTCCCAATATAAGTAGACTCAGATATTTCAAATCAACACTCCACAGATGTTAATGATTGCAGAATAGTCTATGGAAGTATACATGGTTCTAAGACTGGAGTTCAGGAGTGAAGTGCCATTGTTGATGACGGGGGTAAAATTAATAAATTAATAAAAGATGATAAAGTTTGTTTAAATAAGCTTGTTAAAGTTCAATTACCAAACCACAGCAAGGTAGAAGTTTTGAGGCGTATTAACTGGTATGGACGTAGAAATCTAGCACTATTCAGTTCCCCACATTTGGGATAACTTACAGTTATTTTCAAGGTGCTTCTTTGATGGGACTATAAATAGATGACATCTATGCTATATATTTCATGTCCTGAAATTCTAATATACTGTCTTAGTTTTAGGAATTTCACATGTACTTTACAAAATCATTATTACAATTGTCTAGGTAATTTTGGACCTAAAGCCTATGACGCATTCATTTTGAACTGATGTCTTCCAAGCTTTGTACATCAGCAAAATAGTAAGAAAAAAAGGTTGGAAAGTATTCTGTAGTTGTTCTCTGCTATTTGAACTTTTCTTGCTTCCTTGATTTTTTTTTTTCATTGGAACTTCTTACTGTCTACTCTAGTAACAGAACCGAGAAAAATAGAATTCCAGGAAAAATAGAGAGTAGGATTATCATGTGAGAAAAGACTTAAAGGATACTTAAAATTTATTCTTTTTCCATCTAGACTATCATCTCTATCTCCTGATAAAGAAATCAGTAATAGCAAGAAAAAATGCAACCCTTAAATTCAACGTTTTCGCATCATTTGCCAGAGTGGTTTTAGTATTGCATGCTTTACTGCTGATCTTTTTATGTTGCTTTCAAACAGAACATTACAGAAAGAAATAATTTAAATCAGATTCAAAATGTGTACCTTGAGAGAGATGAGAAAGACTTAAATGTCAAATGACAGAACGACTTTGTTCAGGCTGCAGGCAAATGACAAGGCCCTGCTCTGAAATGAAGGGAACTGAACAGAACATAAGAAACTACTGGAACTGGAAACATCTGTGTCCAGAACCACACAAGTGCTTATTTGCAAGAAAACCAGGCATTTTCTGATATAGAAACAACAAAATGAAAACAATAACTTTTACTAATAAATCCTTTTGTTGTTTATCTGAGAAGCATCAATAATTAGTCTATAGTGTGTCCAGATACGTGCTAATTTTTTAAGTATGCTCACTGTAATAAATAAGTCTCAAATTACTCAAAGTAGAATGTTTATATATGTTACTGCAATAGACTGTTTTCACCTGGTGGAAAAGTACCTTTCAGCATAAATTTCAGCATGTTACTCAACAAAAAGCTTCACTGTTCAAGCAAGAACAAAGTCAGAGTATTTATCACATTTTAAATGACCACACGTTTTCATAACCATTCTGCAGGGTGCATCACTCTAACAGCACAAATTATTCGCCCAAAATATCTTTTATATAATAGAGCAATTATTAGCAGGGAGAGCATAAACAGCACTCATTTCAACCGTCCATTGTGTGTATATACTGCAAGTTGCTGAAATCAGCATAAAGTAATAACACTTAAAGTTTACTCAGCACATACACGCAGACTTCTGCACGATACAGAGAATCTGTTCTGTGACAGCCAATGCAAGCATCCTTCATCTGAGTTGTACACAAACCAAGCAGGCACAATGAAAGAGTCTGCCAATACATTCTGCCGAGTAAAAAGCTTATCTTGAGGTGGCAATTTAAAATCCTTTTAATTGCAAATCAAGAGTAGTTGATTGTTATTGTTTGCTTACCAGTACTGCATGGAGAAGAGACTGGACTGCAAAGCAAGCCAGCTACTAGAAGTAAAATGGATTTAAGTAAACAATACCCTACATAACCAGCTGCTTAAAGTCTTGTGCAATGTTGGCTAAAGCAGTCTTGATTACTCACTAAACTGCTGCTTTCTGCCTTTGCTCCTTTGCTGGATCAAAGCTAACAAAATGACAGATTTAAAACAAAAAACCAAAACAAACTCTCCCCACACACACACAAAAAAACCAAACCCAAAGAAACCCACAAAAAACCAAAACAAAGCACCCACTCAAGCAGAAAACAAATCCAAGCAAAAACACCTGACAAACAAAAGAAAAAAAGGTTGCCAATTTCTAGCTACAGTTATTTCTCAAAAAGACAGATTTTTTTCTTACCAAAAAACCTGCTATCAGATCTAGCTCCTAAGAAAATAGTACGTAAACCAATTTCTTCAGCTGAATCTGGGCATAAATTAAAACAACTCAAGAAAGACTCCAATTTAGCCATCTGTTGAGTATATCAAAGATCTGAAAGCAGTAGCTGGGATGAAAGCACCATATATAAGCAAGTGTAACAGGAATTCAAGTTGGCATAGAAATCTATATACAGTCTTTAAGCTACCAATGAATCTCTATAGTATGATGATACTCTTTTTGTTAACAAATGTTTGGAACCTGGCACGGATACTGTGCAAAACAACTGTAATTATAAAATAATATAGGTCATAAGGACATTTCTGTCAATAAAATTACAGTTTTATGCACTGGGCTTTACAAGAAAAAAAAAAAATAAAACAAGAGTAAAAGCTGAAGCAAGCAGAAGCAAGCACCTATGGGAAGGCTGCCTGCTGTTTAAGAGGGGTTTATCCAAGACAACTAACTGCGACCAGAGGCAAAACTTGGCCAACTGAATCTGCATAACTTACTCCAGCAAGGCCACAAGCGCATTGATATCAGCGCTTCCCATTACGATGTAGTAGTCAAGTAGTCAGACAAAGAGATACAGCTAGGAGGATGACTGCACAGAATCCAGTATATTAAGAATAAGGATAGCATAATTACAGAAAAAGGAAAGAAATCTCATTTATCATTTATACTGAGTACTGGTGGGGTATCGTACAGAAATATGTAAGTCCACTAGATTGGTTATTAGCTGTCCAATTTAATTGCCTCATATTTATTTCTTTAATAAACATCTTTACATCGAGTTTTGTGCCAACAGACACAAATTTTAATCCTATGCTACCTCACAGTTTATCAGTTAAGTCCTCACAAAAAGAACACAGAGTCCTAACTCACAGAATATATATCTTTCCGAAAGAAAAGAAACTCAACACATCAAAATATACAAGTATAGTATAATTTTATCAGAATTTACGAGGTTTAAGTGGAAAAGACATCTTATATATTTGTCACATATTTACATTTATTTTCCTTAAAGTAACAATATATTATCCAGTAACTTACAATGTTTAAAAAAAACCCACCAGTCTTGAACTGATATATTCCGAAAATTAGTAACTTGTATAGTACATCATCTTACTTTTTATGATAAATTACCTTCGTGTTTTAATCCACATTCCTTGTGCTGTTCTGCCAGACGTTGCTCACTTTTCTTGCAAATGTAACATCTGAAAACAAAAATACCTTTCAGTTCCTGAAAACAAAACTATTATTAGTTCAACTTTTTTGTTTTATACAGTCATTACAAGTTCTTTCCCCACAACAAGATGCAGTATTGCACTGACAACCCTGATGTGGCATGAACCACGATAGCCTTGCAGGCAGTACAGGTACACATACAGTGCTGAAGACTACTGGATGTCAGAAATAACAGCATCACAGAGACAGAAGATCAATAGGTTGGAAGGGACCTCTGATGTGGTCCAAACCTTTGCTCAAAGCAGGTTTCATAGGATCAGGATGTTCAGTGTCTTGTTCAGTCAAATTTTGAATATCTGCAAGGGTAAAGCCCACAAGACCTCTGGGCAACTTCTTCCAATATTTGACTGTTGTTAACAGTGAAAGACACTGATGTACTGGAGCCAGTCCTTCATCTTGCAAGTGCTGAGTACAGCGCAAGAATCACTTCTGTTGGTTTCTCTTTTGCTTGTAAAGCTCAAAATAAGGTTGGTTTTCCTTGCTGCAAGGACACATTGCTAACTCAGGTACAGCTGTTGTCCACCAGGATCCCAAAGCTCTTTTCGGCAGAGCTGCCTTCCAGCCAGTCAGTGCCCAGTCAGTACAGCTGCATGGGACTATTCCAACCTGAGTACGTGACATTTGCCTCTCCTGAACTTCAGAAGGTTCCTATCAACTATTTATTCAGCCCACCAAGGTCCCTCTGAATAGCAGCCCTGACTTTCAGTATGTAAACCGCTCCTCTCAACCTGGTATCATCCATAAAACTGCTGAAAGTGCACCCCCTGCCACTGTCCCAGTCATTAATAAAGATGTTGCACATATTAGCCCCAGTGTTGATCCCTGAGGGACACCATTAGCAATTGGTTGCCAGTTGGACTTGGTACTCACAACCTTTCTAGACAGTCTAGCCAGTTTTCCACCCATCCGCTTATCTAGTCCACACTTCATCAATTTGATTTTAAGAATATTACAGGAAATGGCACTAAAGGCCTTGCTAAAGTCAAGGTATGTAACACCCAGTTTCCCGCTCATTCACAGGCTTGGGGGCCTGTAAGGCCTGGGGGCAGACCACATCAGTGAAAAATGAGCAAAGGAGTAATTTTCCAGCCTTTTCCAACCTTTTATCACAAGGTTCCCCATACCACTAAGCAGCAGGCCCACATTTCCTTCAGCCTTTTGTTATGATCTCTCCATAAGAAGTAACATCCTTCACATCCCTCACTGATTTCAACTCCACCTGAGCTTCAGCTTTCTCAGTTCCATCCCTCCATGTTTAGGCAGTATCTCTGTGTTCTTCCAAACTAACCACTTTCACTTTCTCTTTACTTCTCAGATCCTTGCTTATCCACATTGGTTTTCTATCATGCTTACTCAAGTTTCTGCGTATCAGAATGGACTGCTCTTGTGCTTTGAGGAGGTACCAACTAACTCTCCAGTGCCTCTTTGTCCTCCAGGGCAGTCTGCCATGGAATCTTGCCAAGATTCCTGAATAAACCAAAATCTACTCTCCTACAGTTCGGAGTTACAATTCTACTTTCTGTCTTGCTTACTTCTCTCAGGATTTTAAACTCTGTAATCTCACAGTCACCACTGCCAAGACTGCCCTCAACTGTCACATCCCCCACTTTCCTTTTCTGTAACCAGACCAGCAGAGCATTTCTCTTAGTCAGCTTGTCAATCACCAGCATGATCACTGTCATCACCACACTTCATGATTCTCCTGAATTGCTTGTGCCCAGCCCTATTGCCCCTCCAGCAATTATCACGATGTACAAAATCCCGTCAGACACCAGGCACTCTTTACCCCCTGACTGAGACCTGGATGACAGTTTTCTCCCTCTGGAGCTTCCCCTGTATGAAGGCACTTGACGGATCAGGATAGTTGCTCTGGCTAGTACTGCAGACTGTGATCTGTACCATGTCACAGCATTATTATTACAGCACAGTGTCAACAAGTTCCATGCAGTTTCTGGCCAAAGTTTCTGGCTCCTCTGTATCCTGCTGTGCTGTTTGCTGCCGTGACAACTATGGTATCTCTGATAGCTAGATTCATACATAAAGAAGAAGTACGAGTGCATTAACTTTAAGCAGGTGAAAGCAAAGAAAAAGGAAGGAACACTGGGAGATTAAGCTAGGCCCTGATTGAGGAAACAAGAGAAGAATATCACACAGAATGTATACAGAATAGTAGTAGTTGTCTATAAAACAAATGCTAAACAGGCTGAATCCTCAGAGGACCTATCCTCAGGACAAGCCATGCCAGCTGTTGTCATGGCACTAAAACAGTCGCTAAAATTCCAATTACAGTGTGAACATCTGAGAATTTTTGAATAACTATTTCCATTTGTAGAACCTATGAAGCAGCCAGACTTTTTATTTATTAACAGTAACACAGCATAGTACCTTCAGCACCTTGTAACTGAGTACTGTACTGTTATACTTCGCTTCATTGTAAATGAGTGTAGGGGGGTGAACAGACCAGCTAATAAAATTTTATTACATTTTTGTTTACTGACCTGATAAAATGAGGTGTTTTCTTTAATGAGTCAATAAACTTTTTTTACAAGCTTGTCTCTTTCAAAGTAAGTGTTTTGATATTAAAAACAGCATTTCTGTGACCTCTATTTATGTACAGGCCTTTTCAAACAGTTTATGTCAAATATCCAGAGATAAATATTAGCCTACCCTGTTCTGCAGCTATCTTTATCTCTTGGAGATCCCACTGCGTGTTTTGCTGGTTGAAAAGAAATTGTTCCTTCATAGTAATGATGAGAAAGAAAAGTCTTGAAGCCTACATAAAAAACAGTATTAAGCAGCATTAAGTCATTATAAATCCACATTGGATACACCTCTGCATACATCCCTTCATTGCTCCTCTCCTTCCTTCTCTAAGGACTGCAAAACAATAGTTGCCCTCCCCAAGCTCACAGCTGCTTGTGTTACGATGTTTTAGACTGTAAAAGACAAGGAAATACCACACCACTCCTCCAACTTTTAAAACATTTGCCAATAGTGCCATTACATTGCTTGACTTCTTTAAAAAACAACTAAAAATTTTAGCTATACATCACTGCCGAATCTTAAAATTGGCCTACGCTACTTAAATTCTGCTTTTGCATCTTCTTTCCCCAATACAAGACAAATTAAAGAAGGCAAAAAATATATACCAGTAACACAGAATTTATCCAAGTATTAGGTAACTAGGCGAAACCTCTCATCTCTCCCTATTATCTGTGCTGGAAGAAGGACAAAATTAACAATTCATTCCAGCAGCTGCATGTCCAAGAAAAAGGAGTGCCTCTCTCTCTCTCAACTGACTGAAAAGAAAGTCAAGATGTTTAGCACAGAGAAGATACTACTTTTTAGGCAGCTATCACTAGGTGACATATTCAATACAACCTTAATGAGCACACTGTCAATGTTATCCGAAAAGTTACAGACCTTTACATAATGTGATCCAATGTACTCAGTACTACAAGGAGTTTAAAATCAGATTAAGTCAGTTTCTGATGTTTAAAAGCTTCAGAGAAGGCTGGTTTGGAGAGAATACAGCAACTGCTCCAATGTGTTTATATGCTTTCAAAAGAATGTAATAATTACACAAGTTACCTGAGTAGTCATATCTCATCGGACCCATCCACCGCTTCTTTTCACTATCTTTTAATATATCTCCATAAAAACCATAACCCAGCAATGACACAGAGTACTTTAAAAATGTGTTGTTATGATGTACAGAAGAGACATCCAGAGGCTGACAGTCACCTATGAAGATTAGAAATGCAAGGTTCTATTAAGGCTTATTTTGTTTGCAGATGCAAACATGACAGGAAATTTAACGTTACAAATTTTTTATAAATAAAAAATACATTTTGTATTTATGTCATAACATATGTATGTTGTATATCCATACACATTTCTTATACATGCAGAAAGGGAAAAATATTTTTTAATACTAATTCCATTTAATATTTTAAAAGCATTAAGCACTAAGTGAGAACAAAGGGATCAGTATGCTAAAAATACATAATGAAGAATTCACACTCATTTACCATGTAGCAGTAGGAGGGGATGTTATAGAAGCGATCAATGCAGTATCTGTATATCTACTGGATACTACTTAATCCTGTATGTCATACTATCAGAGGATATTTCAAGATGGAAGGGGCCTTAGAAGTGAGTAAAATGAGGTAAAATCAGGTTACTTAGGGCTAATCCAGTCAAGTGCTGATAATCCCCAAGAACAGAGAGTACACCACCTCTCTGACGTCCTCATAGTGTAAGCTTTCGATGGGTGGCGGGTTTTGGGAGGTTTCAGGGGGTGTGTGTGTGTGTGTTGTTTCTTTGCTTCTTTGGTGTTCTGTTTCGTTTTGGGTTTGTTTTTTTTTTTTCTTCTGTTTCACTTTATGCCCATTGTCTCTCATCCTTCCACCACAGACTACTGTGAAGAACCTTTTACATGAGTGAGAAACACTCCTAAAAGTCTAAATACACATGTATATATGCACATTTAATAATCCAGCTAACATACTATGATATACTGAATCTGTATCTCTCCCTAATCCTAGTCCAATGGCCTGAACTGTACATATGCTGAACAGATTTAACCATCGGTTAGTAACAGAGAAGCACATGTGTAAACCGTTGAAACACCAGTTCCTAAAACTGCAACTGTTAAGCACTCGATAGCAAGTGATAATCAAATAATAGTCACTTGAATCTCTATCTTTATGCTTACTCAACATTGTTATAACAGAAGACTATCTTGCACAATTTTTCAAATTCATCATTAAGATCCAGGTGACTATGATTCTTCAGTACATGGCAAGAGAGGACAGACATCACAATTCACAATACACTGAATATTCCAAGCTGTCTCCTTGAGTCCCCAGACGATTCAGTCACTCCATTACTAGAGGACTTTGAGAAGTGGCAATATCAGCATCTCTACTGATAAGAACATATCAATTAAATTTTTAACATACTGTATTTCAAATCAGAGACTTAAATTCTAGACAAAAACTTTGTATTTCAACTCTGCCATTAAGTTCAAATTATATTTTACAAACTTATAGAAAGAACTAAACGGAATAGTTTTGGGCTGTTTTAATAATTTTCATAACAAAACAGCGAACTGTGACCACCCACCTACAATAATATGAAGAGCTGATGTTACTGGATCACAAATGCCAACAGTTGAATAGCATATGCAATCTGTTGATCCTGAAAATTTAAAAAAAAAGGATATTAATTAATATCTTTTCAAAACAAATATTATTGGTGTGGTCCTCCAATTAAAAGCATTATGTTTCTTTGGCCTGCTCCTTTCTATTTTACGAACAAAGGAAATAAAAGTATACAAACACTACAATTTAAATTGTAACCTTTTTTTCACCCACAGTTGGTGGGTGAAAAGTGAATTTATTTCTCCCTGTACAAAGCAGAAAGATTTTCACTATATAAGCAATAAATATATAGCAGGTAGCAAAGGGAAATAATTTATTTCCCACAAAAAAATTTCAGAATTGCATTACATATCAACTAAGGATGGAGGGGAAGGAAGGCACATGCTGATTCTCCTTTGCTTAAGATTTCTTACTCATTGAGATCTCAAGAAAAGAAGTTGACTGGTCTCCTGTTTTTGGGGGGAGTGATCAAAATTCCAAACTGTCAACATCTCTTCCTCCTCCAGCTGCTTCTTAAACCAGTAACTCCTGCTCAGTTCTTTTGTTTGAAAATTAGTAAATACTTGCTTTCAGGAATTAGCTTATAGATATGGGAGCAAAATGAATAGAGATGTGCCTTTACAGTCTTGAGCAAAATACCTACAAGAAGAAAGGTGGGAAGCTTTAGGTTTCACCTGTATTCTGTCTTTGTTACTAACGACCTTCAGACTATTCCTCACTCAGAACGTCCACTCAGTATTTTGGGTGCTTTTTAGAGACAGGCAATTCTCCCTGATCCCTATAAAAAACAATCTAAGAGCCCAACGTATGGTTCTGAATCATACTCTGTAGCAGGGACTCGAAAGCCAGGGCCAGACATACTAAAGCATTTTTGCTGCAGTATCTAACTTGAAATTTATCTTGTTTCTCCCATCCCTTCCCTGAAATTAAATTCCTTTAAAGTCAAGGCTGGATAACTAAAGACAAAAACTTACTTTGTTCACATATATGTTCTCAGATTTGCTACTGATACACTAGATGGAGAGCAGCTCAGACACAGAGTACTTCATTTCTGAGGCCTAATCAAATTGTAAAAAATGGAGGAATGAGTAATCGCTATTTAAAATTCACTTTTGGTTCTCATTCACTTGGAAAACAGTCAGGACATACATAGTTATCAACAGGAGCAAAGAAAATCCTTTCCTCTCCAACTCACTTCTCAGGAAATGGACACCACTGCCCTTACCAGTGAAGGGCATGAGAGAATCTTCTATCAAGTAAACACTATGCAGAAGCCTGCCACAGTGAACAAGAAGCAGCTCCAGGAGGCAATTAAAGATAATATAAATACAAGAGGACCGCAGAACAAAAGAAATAGTGTGACTAAAGAGATCTCTCTCTACTAGATGGTACAAGTGTACCATTACAAGTATATCCCATTGCACAGGAAACAGGACTCCCAACTTCTCTCTGAATCATAACAGACAAGGTACACAGATGATGTTATTACGCCAAATTTGGAGTTTTATAGCAGAAAATATTAAGCAGAGTTCAGATACTGAAGCTATGCTTTACTCCCATTTTTTCTGTTTCACTCTGCCTCTTACACTCATGAATTTCAGTTAGGCATAAAAGAAAATTCTCACTACTTTTCAAAAGAAAAACAAACAAAAAATAGCCACTAAAAGATCTGAACTTTTACTGCTGAATGTACAAGCATAACATTTCATCCAATCTTTCTCATTCCTTCAAGATCTGTTTGCATTCTGCTGCTAGAATTACCTTAGTCACATTTGTCTTGATGTAAACAGAGCTTCCAAGTAGTCTTACATTATAGATGGGAGAAGAATAGGAGAATTCATGCAAGCTAGATTTTAACACCCGAGTCTTATCTTCCTACACTTTTCTATAGGCAATTAAAAGCTGATTTATCCGTTGGGCAATTTTATAGAACTTATTTTCATTTCTATTCATTAATTAGCAAGGGAGAGCTAAAATTAGATCTGAAGTCTGAAATTATTTCTGAGATTCTAAAATGGGAGACTGAGGAAGACACCAACAGTGTTTACCAACTGTCAAATCACCCCTCTCTCAGACTTGCCAGTGGAGTACCAACTTCAAATAGTAAAATATCATTTTTTTTCCTCTCTCAGAGCTGGAGCAACAAAAGTGGTATCGTTCTCTATGTACATTCCAAGAGAATGTAACTGGTCATAACACCACACCAAGCATTAACCTAACAGCACTAGTTTAAAGGTCACAAAAATGTTCACAATGGCTAAGGATTTGAATCTCTTTGAACACTTTATAACCAAACAAGAATTCCAGACCATTAGGTGGGTCTTTAATAGCTGGAATCTTCTACTGCTAAAACAGCACTCTGAGTAGATGCACATGCAAACTCCACCAAAATCTGGCTTATTTCATCAGTATAAATCTGATACGGGAAGCAGAGTTAGAATGTAAATACAGCTTGACTAGTATTCTTGATTAATATCTTAGGATTGTCAGAGCACTCAATTTGGGCAAGAAGCTTTGATGAGCGTGACTGTTGACTAACGTTAGGTGATGGATGTTGTTTGTTCTGGTTAAACCAACAGAAAAAAATATATAAATACTCTGACAGATTTTCTTTAGGGATTTAAGGGCAACAGCCTGAGTGAAGGGGGAATAAAAAAAAGAAAAAAAAGAAGAAAAAAAAGAGGTTTTTATGGGTTGCACAGAACTACATGCAAATGTGAAGAAAGTAGAAAACAGTTGGACTGTTTGTCAACTGAGCCCTAATTCATTAAAAAAGAAAAATCTTCGGTGTGGAAATTAATTTTTGCATTGGTGTGCTATAATAGAAGAAAATCAGCATGCAAGGGAACGATTAAGTTTCAGGTTAAGACATTTAGAAGCAGCTACACTTGTACATGTAACACTGCACACTCTGTCAATGCTTCCAAGGAGAAGCTTTGGTCAAGGAGATCTTGTTGGGAATGCTCATGGCAGCCTGAGCTTGATTCAAGGTACTCACACACAGTTTCAAGGGCCTTAGGAAACAACTCACCTGCACAAGACAGGCAGATGCAGCACAAGATCCACAGGCTCTACTGACTGTATTGACCAGATGGCCCCCAGCTATAACACGAGTTTAGATGCCCATCTCACCTGCAGACATCTAAACGTAAGCCTGAAAATTTGAGTATCAATTTCAAATTGAAACTCATCATAAGGAGAGTAACTACACCAACCACCAGTGTTCAAGTGCTGCAGATTACTCTGCTTGGCTTCCAACTGCTACTCTAGTGCAATAGCTGTCTTGCATAGGGCTAGCACCTTTCAATGACGGTGGCACCATACCACCATATGTAGATAGCCTACTGAAAATATGAAGCGTGTAGAGAGCACATCAACTAGTTTTTGTTAAAATGAGTACAATTACTTTGAATCTTTACCATACATCATGTACACTAGAGCCCTGTTTCATTACCCATTTTCCTCAGTCTATTTTTATTAGGAGATACCATACAGCCATGTAGTTGTTATATAGGCAAGTAGTTCTATGTCCTTTCCCTCCTCAAATTTAAACACTGTAATTTTTTTAAATAAATAAATTTAATGATTTTAAAATTATCAAGGAAATCTTTTCTTTTAATTAATCACAAGGGAAATGATCGGGATATGTATTTAAACTATTCAAGAGTATGTACTCCCCATAAAACATTTTTGCTAAAGCAAGATTAAAGAAACTGAAGTGATGGACTGCAGCACATAAAATACAGTACAGCTAAATGACCAGATTCCCCCTTTGCATGCAAATATGGCTGGATATTTGTGAGTAGACAAGTCATTCAGACAGGTGATCAGACATCACCTCACAAGCTTTAAATTGGTCATAGAACCACCAAAGTGATAAGCAAACCCACACGATTTACTGGTTGTATAGAAGAGTTCATGCCATTGATTCTGTGGACCAAAAAAAAATAAATAAAAATCAAGCTACTAGAATTAATCATCTGAAAAATTATTAGACTATTAACTTACAACTAAGTCTTCTTAAACCAAAACACATACACATGTGAGCTATAAGTATTCAATTTTGTGCTTTTATTGATGGAAAACTAAACAAATTCCAAAGAAATGGAAGTAGTAAAGTAAACAGATGACAGAAGTAACAGTCAGCTAGATGTTGATCCTACAGAAAAGAGTGAATTTAATAAAGATATCAAAGTATTTTTAGTGCTGATAAGCTTTGTTCCATGCAAGACGCCCTTGACAGGGCCAGGTGCTCTCACAGCACACACAGAATCCTCACAGCAAATTAGTATGACAACAGGATTCTGTACTGCAAACAGGTAGAATAACAACTTCAGTGGGGGTCCTGTATGTTTGTAGTCTTTCTGTGAAGTCACAATACATGCAGTCACCTCACAGATGAAGAATCAGGTGAGTCATACTAATGACAGAATAACTGCATACTCCTGGTATTTTGAAAAATCTAGATGGTGGCTTTTCTAGGAAGTGTTTTTCAAATTACAAGGATCTGACACATTCCCAAGTAAGGGGAGAAGCTACTGTTACAGGCAGAGATGAATGGGCTGGACATATTAGTCATGTTCCTCCTCAGTTTTATAGATCTTCCCTTCTGCATCCAGAAATCACAAAATGAAGTTCAACATCTGCAGAAAGACAGATTGGCTTAAAAAGGAACAGTTCAGAAGGACTTTGGTCTGAAGTTTTTTGGTAGATAACCACTTCAGAAGAAGTTCAGTACCACAGTACAACAAAAACAGATTAATACAATAATGTCAAATTTAAGAGATGAAATTAACATCACAGGGAAAAGTAATCTTGACTTAGTTGTCTTCATAGCACTGTATTAAATGCAGTATTTAGCTCTAAGACTGTCATTTCCAGCAGTATAATGGATTTAAAATGCTGAAGGAAGAACAGAAAACATTGCACTTCAGATTTCAAACTGGACATACTGAACCTTGGATGAGATGCTAACTAAACTGCAAGGATCATTAAATATTACAAACATTGTAACAGAGAAGGCTGTGGACACATCACTTGGAATCATTTAAAAAATGACTGGATAGCTTTTAATGCTATGCTTTAACAAATTCTTAGAGAGAAATTTTGCAGCCTAGATGACAGTAGTATAAGAGTCCAGTCATGCTTCATGATTTTACTTCCATCTGGTTTTTAAGTTTGTGAATGAATCCACCACCATTCTTGTACACTACCTTCACATAAGAAGCCTGTGCTGTCGTTAGCATTCTTAACTTCTACAGCTACACATCAACATGCTGATTATAATCACACTGCATGCTTCAGTCCTACAACAGAAGTGAGAGGGAACTGGATACCCTAGAAGCCTAAATCACTATAGTAATTAACACTTTGTATCTACACTTTACTCCATCTCTCCTAGTGCTTGGAAGATTTTTCCCCTATCCCCAGTGTAGGCAGGGAGACTTGGTTTTTGCAAGAATGAATGCGTTAATGTTATGCCACAGCACAGAGTGAAGTAGGATTTTTTTTTTCTACCTGCTGAGATCATAAGAGTATTTACTCTAATCCATTCTCTTTTACTAGAGAGTCCTCCAATAACAGTTTACAGATTTGTTCTCCTGTTCTATGCCAGGTTTAGTAAAACAAACTAACTACTTCAGCTTACTCCAGAGGGTATAATTTTAATACTAAAACATGTGGATGAATCCTCAGAGCCACATGTCATTAAAAGAAATTATTCTCTGTTTTTAAGTTCTATGGACGCATATTACCAGTCTGAATGCAGTGAGAAAACATGTCTGAATGTGGTTTTAAGGCCAGACGGCAGTAGGAAGAAATAACTAAACAGAAGTTTGTTTCATATGCAGAACAGAAGCATGTCTCATATGAGGAACGGCTGAGGGATATGGGGCTGTTTAGTCTGGAGAAGAGAAGGCTGAGGGGAGACCTTATCACTCTCTACAACTACCTGAAAGGAGGTTGTAGCAAGGCAGGGGTCGGTCTCTTCTCCCTAGTGACAAGCGATAGAACAAGGGGAAATGGCCTTAAGTTGCACCAGAGGAGGTTCAGGCTGGATCTTGGGAAGAATTTCTTTACTGAAAGGGTTGTCAGGCATTGGAACAGCCTGCCCAGGGAGGGGGTGGAGTCACCATCCCTGGAGGTGTTTAAGAGATGGGTAGATGTTGTCCTTAGGGACATGGTTTAGTGGTGTTGGTAGAGCTGGGACAAAGGTTGGACCCGATGATCTTCAAGGTCTCTTCCAACCAAAATTGTTCCATGATTCCGTAAGTTTTCTGAGATGCACTGACTTGTAGTTACCACACGCAGTGCAAAACTTTGTCAGGTTGCTACAAGCTCTAAGTAATCTTAACAGCAAAACTGTTTACAACAGCAATCAATTTACACTGGTAGATTTGAAGAATGGCTGCAACTAAGAGAAATCTGGAAGTTGAAACTGCCATTTGAGTAAAGCCTTTATTCGTGTCAATAAAACCACGTTATTTCATAAAAGTCTACCATAATGCATAAGAATAAATGATATTTTTTAACCAGAAGATGCATTAAGGAAAGAGTCTGTCTGGAAACAGACACACCTGTTAAAAAAAATAAAAAGGGGGGGCGGGGGGCAAGTAGGGGCTTGCTCCTGAAAGTTAGAATCATGATTTACAAGTACCATCCAACATTTTTAAAAAAAAGGAAAAGAAAAAAAAAAAAAAAAAGAGGGGCCGGAAAAAAAAAAAAATAGAGGGGCCAGGAAGGAAAATAGAGGGGCCGGGAAAAAGTAGAAAAGAGTACAGAGTCTGTGCAATGAGATTCTGCCTAAGAAATAAAGCTAATTACTCGAAAACGGTCATATAGATGAGAGTGTTTTAGCACTAAATCTGTTTCATTTGTGAATTCAAACAGTGGTCCAATTAAATCGACAGTTTCCAAGCAAAGACTAAGTCTGCTGAATTGAGTGTTAGTTTGAATACAACAACTGTTTAATCACAACCACAAAGCACAGCCTGCCATGTTTCTCTTAACACAGCTTGACATTAGGAACTAAATGACAGAAAAGGCAAAAACATTGATTCAGTGTCACCTTACCCCAGGCTCCTGTCCTCACCGAGTAAACTGTCTCCATGTATCAGAAGACACAAAGAGCTTTAGAACTTAATCTCTAAACTATGGGTAGTGTCTGTTTTCAATACCTATTAATGAGTTCTTAGGATTTTAAGAAAAAGGTTGAGTATAAAGATCTAAAAAGAACATAATGAATTAAGTTTTTCTAGATGCATGATTTATATTTCATTATTCTTCTTGACTTGCTGTATTTTAGGACTGTCTGTTTAGTTTAAAAGAAAAAAGTCTTTTTAAGGATCTCACTTATTTTGGAACAGACTTCTTGCACTAGTCTGGGAACTAGGGTATCTAGGAACTGTTGGGGTCAACACATGGTCAGAGCTCCATTACATCAAGCAAAGATGAACAGAGAACAGCTTCACCAAGGGCCTGAAAAAAACCCCTCTTGCCTTCCTAACCACCCTGCAATGCATGGGTTTGGCTATTTCACACACAATCTAAGGTCCCTGTGATGGTTAGTTGTGCTAAGAATGGGTTAAGATTTGTCCTGTAATTTGACAGAAATTATTTATTTCTAAAGTGTTTATTTTTAAATATTTAATTATTTTTATTATTTATTTTTCAATAAATAAGCACTTTTCCATACTTTCAGCAATGGATCATTTAAAATATTGTACAATATACAACAGATCAAGATCTGTATTATCCTCTGTAGTCCCAAAAACTTAATTAATAGAACTTCAAGGCCAGCTTCCTTATACACCATTATAAATAATTTTTGAGGGATCTGAATAACGAGTTGCAGAAAATATTTGAACCATAGCACTGATTACAAGGCTGTAACTCATGTTAGTTCAAGGAATAGAGCATACAGTATACATTCAAATAGCAAACAGTCATAATGGACGAAACACAACAAAACACTAAAGTATGTAAGAGAAGAAAGTGACTCGATACATGTTAGCAATATTAAAGTATCAGTAAAGATCCTATTTTTTGATTGCAATTGGAAAAAAATGCATTAAGAAAGTGTTGAAAAAGCAAGGTTAATCCTTCAATTTTAACATGCTTATAGTTAATTTCCTAAGGACAAAGAAATAGCTCTTAATGCTGAGGTTCTGTTTTTTTAATTGTATCTTCTTATGGTCACTAACATCACCAGTAGGCAAAATCTTCTGAAACCAACCATGTAAGTGAAAATTTTTAGTCCAAGAAATTTGCCCAAATAAGGGAAACAATGGGTAAAGCACCTAAAATTATATTCTTAAGTTTATCATGCAAACAGATTTTAATACAAAACTTTAACAAATAAAATAAAAATATTCTTAATTATAGTAATTCTGTTATACAGAACCCTTAATGTGCTACCTACAATGAGAATTAAAAACCGTAAGAGGATATCACATTGCAACTTTCAGATATCTAACTCTTACTGTACTGCAAGCAGAAAGGGTTAAGGTTCTTCCAAGCAACAATTCAGACCATTTGGGTTTGCACACATTCTTCACAAATATATAACGAGTATAAAACCAGTCACCTAAAGCCTCAGGGTACAAATATACTATTTCTCTTGGTGTATTTTCACAACCTGTGCTAAATTTTCTCACAAAGTCTGTGTTTTAGTTCTAGTCAGAAGTCATAACGTTTATTTCACATTCTAGTTCTTTAATTCAAATACCAAGCATCTGAGAAGAAAAAGAGAACAGCATAGAAAAGACACTCAACTGTCCATTTGTCTTTCCACAGAGCCCTCAAAATTGCAGATGCTATTAAAGAGTTACAACACTGAATCCAGTCCTGGAAGAAAGAGTCATCTGTAAGTCCACTTTTGAAGAAATCTGGGGGACCAGCTAGGCAAGGTGAGGTAACACCTAGGACACTAGATTTAACAGTGACATTGATCCGAAGAGTGCCTAAGGTCAATAAAAAGTAAGTTTATTACCAAAGCCTTGAATTCCATGAATGAGTTCTCTGAAATGCCTCTAAAAGTCAGAATTGCCTGAAAAAAATGGCTGACATTGAGAACTGAAGGTATAGCACCTCTAAAAAGGGGCAGAAACTGCACTTGGTCTGGGACCTGAGGACTGTTCCTCAGCTGTATTTGCCTTATGCTTTCTGTGATGACAACTGGAGGGGGCGGCTGGGGGGGAGAAGGAGAGAGAGAGAAGAAATTTTAGTATTTATTTGGAGTTTGCCAGACCATTGGGAGATTCTCATTACAATTCTAACTAAATTTGTGCAGCATTTGGAACTGGAAAAGTATTTATTAGGTAAGTCTCTGTTCAGTAAATTTCACTCACTAATGAGTTCAGATAGACAAAGGTATTACTGTCAACATCTTATCTTGTATTAACACATGGTAAGGCACAAAAAGAAAAAAAAAAAAAGAATCACATTCTGAAGTTGCACATTAAGATCTTACTTCCTTTACAAAGTACTCCTCCCAAATAAAATTGTTTGTAACCAGTAATTATGCTGGATTACAAAACAGCTTTAGCTAGGCATCTCTATGGAATATCATTGCTCTTATGTTACACTTAGGCCTAAATTCAAGAAGCTATGATCAAGAAGAAATTTCAAGAATAAATTAATAACATAAACTGAAAGTTAACCCTTTCTTACCAGCAGGAAGTATGCCAATCCTTATATTGCACTGGACTAATGGTGCTTTGGGATTATTTTGGTCTATGCCAGAGTCCTTCTGCATTCTTCCAATGAGACCATGCATCACTTCACTGAACATGCCGTCCCCACCAACACAAACAACACTGCCAGGAAACACAAATTAGAATGCACACTGACAGTCAATAAACAACACAGCAAGTGTTCTACTTAGGGCATGCACTGGGCACATCAAAAATAGTTGTTCTATTCTCTTCTTCCATTTTTACAGAATATAGTAGCCCACAGTCAACTTGGCAATTAACAAAAAGCAGAAAAAAAATTCAAGCTACACAACTGCAAATGCACCTAGACATGTCTGTAATGTTAGAAAAAAATGTTGAAATGCAACCTGAAAAAAAATAAAATCTTTATCCTCTATTGCTGTGTGCAGACAGACAAATATCAGTGGAAAGTCACTATACAAGGAAAACACTGAACAGGACTCTACATACAGCTTTCTAAGTAAACAAAATGGAAATAGGGTACCCTTTACTAAAAAGTGAAAAGTAAGTTAGTATTTGTGGCTTCAGGCAGAAGTATATTTTACACTATTAACTTAATAGGGATATAAAAAGTCAAAAAACAGAAAAGTGCATGCTTGCATGCTCTTTTGAACATGCTGAGAGCCCATCAAACAGACAGAAGTCATGTATATCTACATAACCATTCATAACAAAACACAGAGTTCTAAATGTTACCAGACGCAAAACTTTGTTTTGCAAACTTAATTCAGGTCAGAGCTGGGGCAGCAGCTACACAGATCTTCAATATGTTAAAGCTCAGCACAGAGTCCACAGCCAAGCAAATACTAGGAAGTAAAAGACTATTTTACAGCAGCATACGTTTCATGCACAAAAATCAAATGCACACCCTGAACTCTAAAAGCATAAGCATTCTTTAACTGAAAAACTAATTCAAATACATTTTAAAAGAACAAAAGTTATGCATGTAGTCCTCAGCATACATGTTTCGGAATGTTTACTGTTATCTATAGCAATAATTTCCAATGCATAATACTTACTCTTCCACACAGTCAGCAACAGATATTGCAGAATGAGCACTTATTTCATAGGACAAGTTAGTTCATTTAACTTATAATTTTTGATGATTTAAATGTCTTTATTATTGTATTTTCAGCAGAAGGAAAGCTTGACAAAAACCCCGTCATTTTTTCATGAATGGAGAGGACAGTCTTAAAAATATACACTGTCCAACTCTAAGTCAAGACCTAAGAGACTAGGAGAGAAGGGAGAAAAGGATGTTTGTTTTTAATTTTTATAATTAATTTCTCTTCTTATAGCTTAACTACACTATTCCTCAACTTCAGCCTGTCTCATCTTTCTCTGTAGACTCTAAGAAAGAGGTTAAGTGGTCAAAAATTTCCACATCTGTTCAAAGTCAGTGTTGTCTCAGCAGTGTTCTATTCATAACGAATACTGTATCAAGGCTCAGAGATGACAAGGACATGAACGTCTACACCTATCAAGGGTAAATACTGACAAAGAAGTTCACATACACAGTATCAGCATGACCAAATTAATTGCAAACATCAGATGACCAATGTGCAAGCCACACGTGAAGGCCCCTAGTGAAGAACTACTGTAAGAGAAATCTTCTTAGAACAATTTTTACATTTTGGGTTTCTTTTCCTAATGGACTAGCATTTCACTTTTTAGACAGACAATAACAGTAAACTATGTATGCTAAAGGACTTCAGGAGAAGCAAGTCCACAAGACAAATGAGTTAAAATTACTATGGACCCATCTAATCTCAACCATTCTGTGATCTAATTCAAGGACTATGAAAAAAACCAACCTGAAACAGTTTTACAAAGGCTTGTGCAACAGCCATACGGATAAGGAAGTGCAGCGATTCATACATGCCAGACTTATTCTAAACGTTGTCATTACCTGCACAATATTACTGCATGCTGTATTTGTTCTGCACAACAATGTACAAAAACATACTATATTGTAACTAAACAAATATTTTAAGCAACTGTCTTCAAAGAGAAGTTGTTCTATCACTGAGCTATTAGATTAGTGCACTCACCATAAGAAATTCTGGTAAGGGGAAATGGGAAGATCAAACATGAAACATGCAGAAAAGGCTTATATAAGCTGTCTCAAGTAAATACACCTGGAAGGCAGTGAAGCAGTTATCACCAAGAATCCTGTATCAGTTCCAAAATTACAGGCATGGCTTTGCTAAATAAGGACTCTAGAGATTAAATGAAGAATCTCATCACTGAGCCACTTAACAGAACCAATCTAAAGAACAGGTGAACAACAACTAGATGTAGGAATCCAAAGCAGCTTTTGCTGTATGCGAGAAGGAAGAGTCAACCAAACTTGAAGAAACACAGGCATTTATGTGTTTCAAGCATTTTTAAAATCTTCCATATAACCATATGATCTGTTATTTGAAAAGTAGTATTACTACAAGAACTCCTTTCCTAACATCACTGTTCACCACAGAAAGAGACTTCTACATGATGACCAAAAACCAGGCTTGGAAAGTGAGGCTGCAGCTCCCAAGCTAACTGCCATTAAGGCCCAGCCTGGCAATAGAAGAACCATGATATTCTAAAATATTGCAGTTCTCTGGCCAAATGTCTATCTCAGTCATTTTAGAGGGGAAAAAAAAACCAAAACAAAACCAAGAACAAACCACAAAAAAACTGCACCAAAGGAAAAAAAAAAATTTCTCCAATAAGAGACTGTTTGAACCTGTCAAAAACCACTCCAGGTACCACTACAATTGGTCACCGTCACTTGTAAAAAACCAGCTTACTAGGAGTAGACATGAGCTTACTTGCTTCCCTTTTCTGCTCTGTATCAGAATTTCATCAAGCATCAGTATTATCTATGTCAAATCACTTAAGTCAAATGAGAAGCCTTAACTAGCTTTTTTGTAGGATCCCAGTTTCCCTTCCTTGCACTTCTGCAAAATCAAGAAAAATCCCAGTATAGTCAAAACTGCTTATTTAAAGACAACTCATTTCAAAGCAGATGAAGTCTAGGAATTCAACCTGTGAATGCAGTTTCTCACTACCACAATTTGTCAACATCATGCCCTGACTCGATTTATACAATGCATATAGATCTGCTCCCCTAGCAAGTACTGTGAAAAGACAGAAAATGTTTTATTTTTGCAACTTACCAGTTTAAACGTATCTGTCTACAAGCACAAGAAGATACTATTTTAAAATACTGTCATTAAGAGAGTTTATCTGCACAGGTTCTGCATACCTTTTCATGATTTTCCAGTCATGTAACTTGGTTCATGTCATGAACGAGAAACTGGAATGACTAGTTTATTTATTAAAATATTCTGCTTCTACAGCAGATTTAATAATGGAATGCAATTTCACCATTCAGTTAGGTCTTTTAAAACAGTAATTCCACAACAGAACAAACACAAGTAAAGCCAAATGATGTAGCCATTATTTCAACCACCCTACATAGCAAGAGGAACCACCTGAAACATTTCTAAACAGCTCATGGTTTTTACACACAGGCTGAATGCTACTGATGCAGTGTTCTGGACTCATGTATATGTCAAGATCACCTATACCACAAAACATTTCAGGGTAGCTTTCGAGGTATCACAGAACACTCAACTTCTCAATGAGCAGAAGGAATCTTTTGAACACAAATCTCATGCAAACCTGTTATACTAAAATATAAAAAATTGTTATACTACACTTGAATACATTGTGTGTTGAACAGGTTTACTAAAAAAGTTTAGTTTTCCTTTGTTACTCCCAAATGTGGATCTTGTACGGAAAAGAACATGCCTCAGAGCTTTCAGCTGGTGCAAACATATGCATCAGCAATGAAGGCTACTATTTTAAATTAAAACAAGAACAGACAGATTACAGGATATATCTGCCAGGAAAAAAAAAAAAAAAACACAACAAAAAAAAAAAAAACCAAGTGAAAATTAAGTGATTACTTACCCATCATATTTATTAATATTAACTTCAAATAAATTGTCTTTAGCATGGTTAGCACGTTCAGTAACTATGAAGAAATAAACACATTAAAAATTACTATTATAAAATGGTATAATATACAATTATAAGTGTTATTAATTCATTAATAACCATGATTCTATTACCAATATGACCATAAAACAGTCTGCCCATAAAATTCATTTCAAAAGATTTTATGCCAAGAAAAGAACAGAAAGAGTCATGCACTGCAGTATATATAGAAAAATATTTCACCAAAAAATTGTGCAAATGAACAATTGGTTTTAACAGTAAAACTGAAAAAGACAGAAAACATTCCCTGTCCACCACTTAGTTTAATTTTCTTATTAAGAAAAAATAAGTAACAGAAAGAACTTAAGCTGCTCAGATGTGTTTTAATGAGTTCATATTGTGCTTATGCAGAAATTAAAATACTCATTACTCACTAACAACGTCGGTGGAGATAGAAGCCAGACTGAAGAGTGGAGCAACTTTCTGTTCGTAAATCCTCTTGCCTTGTCGTCTTCCTCCATATGGATTAATATACACAAGCAACTGCTTTGGTCTAGACTCTGCAGTAAGGAAAAACATTATAGGACACTACTTTTGTACTCAACACAAAAACTCAACAAGCTGTACAAAACCAAACCTGTAACCATCAAAGTGAACACAGCATACAAGCCTTTTATAACTACTAGCTCTTACAACTCTATAACTCTTTATCAAAGAGCTATAAAAACCTGCTTCATCTATCCTCTTTATTATACTGAGAATACTGACAGTCTTGAACAAATTGGTAATAAGACAGCAGGTGAAATGCAGAATTATTTCATCTGACTCCATGTCTCACATCCTTACGCATATTATTCTTACAGTACCTTCCCAATAAACGTTAGTATCACAGGCATACAAGACAAAAGACAAACCAAGGGCAGTGATAGGAAAGGCCCTTGTGGGCGAAGCACACATAAAAATACTTTTACATTAATTTATTTAAAACAACATTGCTGCTTTGATAACACAGTTAAAATATATTTTCTTTCAGTGATAGACACAGTAAGAATAGCTCACAAAACTACATGCTGCACAGAAAGTGCTTCCCCTATAGTGCAACCCCTTCCCCAGAAAACACCTTTGATATTACCATCTCAAATTTCTTCAAATAGTTATGGATTCACACCAGTGGTGGCAATGAAAACAATCATTACATCTCTGTACTAACAGATACACAAAACGGTAACGCTTGCTGCAGCTACAGAACCTTCCCTTTTTTGTGTATAGGACATAAAGACCTGTTACAACATTTGCACTTCCTCATATAGCATTCTAAATTATTATTTTAAAAGGAAAGACTAAACAGAGTTATTATATCAGCACACTTGTATAACAATGGTTTAAAGCTGCCACACAACAAAAGCACCATTCACCCTCTCTGAAAACCTCTTACCTTTTCTGAAATAGTTTGTTACCAAAAGAACAAACACCTGCAGTCAAACAGAGATGACCACCCAGGCCACATCCCTCACAGGTGTACTGAGTGGGTGCACAAACCCCATTTTTTGAAATATTCTATTGGAAGCCAGATACTTCATGTAATGTATATAAACCAAAAACTAGTAAGATGCACGCTTCTAATGCCGTTTCAGAAGAACACTTTTTGTTAAATAATCATTTTTATTCTGTACGCCTTAAGCACTTGCTTAGCCACATTGTAGGTGTACTTGTATCCAGTCCCTCCTCCAGCTCTGTGTCTCAGGTGGACCTCAGACCTATGCTGTAGCCAGCTTATCTCCAGTCCTGCCTCCATCTCCTGCTGCTCCTGTCTGGCCTCCCTGGACAGACCTGGTTACTTTATCTCATCTGGGCTGTAAATCAGACCTGCTGCTATCCCCACCCCTGTTCTGCTCACCCTTCCGGGAAGCAGATGTCCAAGAGTGCCAGAAATTATTATCGGGAACTCTTATTACACAAGGCATATTGTTGATGAGAGAGACTGGAAAGGTGAGGCTGATACATAAAAAGCCAACCATAAATCTTACAACTGCTACAGTCCTTGTCCTCAGACCTCTACAGTACCTCAAATCTCTGTGCTACACCTGCCCTTTACTTTCTCCAAAGCTCCAGTCATTTAAAGCCTCTGCTAAGCTTCTAATGTGGCAAAATACTAACACACTTATAGTCCTGAGTGGTTAGAGTAAAACACTCAGTACAACTTCATGAATATGCGAGATACAAATGCAGTGATAAGAAGAATAAAACAGTTCAGCTCTCAGCTCCCTCAACCTTTGAGCATAAGCTGCTCTTAAAGTTCAAAAAAGCAGTTATAACAAAATAATAGAAATTGACATACAAGCCAGTAAAATAATGCTGCAAAAGTTAGTAGTTTAGTCAAACTTACTCTGCTTTTCAAGTAATGCTTTCAGCGCCTGTATCCACTGATCACATAAGTGCTCATCAACACACCAAAACATCACATCACTGCACCGCCAGCGGTGATTTCGGGCTTTCTTCACATAATACACTATTTAAATTTACAAAAAAAAAAAAAAAGGCACAATGATACAGTTCTGTGAAATAACAAATGCATTTCAGAGAGATCTCCAAAATACCTGACTTTGGAAAAAAGTGGTAATTAACCCCCACTACACATTTCTGCAAATGACAGAAGCATTCAGAGTGTGAACAGGACATTTGTAAAAAGTCAAAATGAAAACATAAATGAAAACACTTGCTCTAAGTCATTACCTCATAGCAGATATCCAAACATAACTTCTTGTTAAACCAAATACAATCCATTTTCCATAAACTGATTAGAGAAATACTTATACAAAAGTTCACTGACCGTATATATTATTTCATCTGTATTAAAGTCTGAAATGTCTACATAATATAAAATGCCATAAGCTGAAGAGGATAAGCCAAATCCTCACATCAGCTCCCATGTAACCAATAGGGTGAATTTAATTTCTTAAAGCTGAAATTTGAGAAAAAAAGATTTAGTTTTCTTGTGCATTAACAACTAGGCTGGTGAGACAAGAAGCACCCTTACCTTTCCATCTACAGTATCACCAATCATTGTTACTGAAGGACTAAATGGGAGGAAAGTAATTCACAACATAAAATTTGGCATGGGAGCAATCACATTTGCCCC